AGGCGGGAGGAGCGGCCGTGCGGATCGTGCCACGCGGCGGCCCTCCCTCGCGAGCCGTCACTCCGCGTTGCGCTGGAGCCTCGGCGCGGCGCGGCCCGACCAGCGCACAAAGCGAGGCGGCGACACCAGCGGCTGCTGTGAAGAGTCCGGGCGGAGGTGGCTGCGCGGGCGGCGGAGCCGCGCCGGCGAGCGAGGCGCCGTCGAGCAGGGAGAAGCGAGGAGTCTCGTTGTCGACCAGACCCAGCCTGGTGGAGGGGAGGGGTATGGCGTGAGCAACAATGTTGTGTATCATGGCCGCGATGGCTTTGCCGGGCAGCTCTCACCCCAAGGCTCGCCGGTGGACGGCTGCGATAGCGTCCTGGGTGCAGAGCTGTATGCTCTTGTCGGACAGGTCGGTGCAGGTGACGCGCCGGCGCTTGACCTCTCTCCGCTCCTCGACCGACTCCTCGTCCTTTTTCTCTCCTCTGCTCTGAGGCTCCGCCACCGACTCCTCCGGCTGCCGCTTGCGCGAGCTAGAGCCAGCTGGCTCGCAATGGCAGACGAGCTCGCTCCAGCTCGAGCCCATCCAGGCGAGCGCGCAAGGCGGCAAGGTTGCAGACTTTTGTGGGGCGGCAAGGTGGAGAGCGGGGGAGAATTTTACGATAGCCGCGCGCACACACACAGAGATAGTGACAAGGGAAAGAACGACGAGAGTGGGACGACCGCGAGGTGGCATGAAGGTTTACCAAACAACTCTAACTAACATGGGGCATTCTCACATACCCTCCCTCCTCTTCTATCCGTCTGCCCAACCGCCTACAATCGTACGACGTACCTCGTACCATGCTCCATGGCATATGGCATCTTCCGATCTTCGTCCTCATCCCCATCGTTGGAAACGCAGCCGAGCACGCGACGGCGGTGGTCATGGGATACCACGGCAAGGTGGGTGGCATACCACCGCCATGCGTCGGCGGAGGAGCCGCCACTGCCGCTGGAGCAGTCCCGCGTCACATTGCACGGCTCCCATGCTGCGCAGGATAAGGCGTAGACTCACTTTACGGTGCTCCTCCGACGTGAAGAGCGGCACGGCGAGGGCGTCGTAAAGCTTGTACGGCGGCTGCTGCAGCACCTGCGGCGTTTGCTTCAATCGGGCGACCTTGCGCGTCCGTCGGGCATCTCTCCCTGAAGACCTCACAGCGTGCGTTTGGCAGCCAGCGGCCAGGTGGGGCAGGGAGGGTGTAGGAGACCTCCCCGGCTGAAGGGAAGACTGAGCACCCCCTTCCCTCTGGGGCGGAGCAGCCGCTGATGAGGGTTCCGTCACTCAAGGTGGTGCGACCGCCCACCGAGTGGAGACCGCCGCCAGACACCGAGGCGGTGCAGTCAGAGATGGTGGATCGGGTCAGGCTGACTGTGCCCGATTGCACGTACACCGCACCACCAACTTGAGCACGGCAGCCAGAGAAGCTTGAATCGGCCACCATGAGATCCGTCGAGCCCACAGCCACAGCGCCACCGCTCTGCACAAGGGCATCGGCACAAGGCGGGCGTCAGTGCGGCTTCACTACGCCAAGACCCAATTTCATCAGCTAGGTTGGGAGGTGACGTGCGGATTTAGGCGG